TGATCCTCACAATGATGGGAGGTGGTTAGTGGTATTATAATCCCCATTCTGCAGTTGAGGAAACAGACAGACAGAGGCTAAGTGACTTGCCTGGGGTCACATAGCTTGCAAAAATTTGAGACTGGACTTGAACTCCGATCTTCCTGAAAATTCCAAGTTTGGGAGTCTGCGTGACAGCAGGGTTGGTGGTGCCATCAACAGAAACAGAGGAGATGGGAAGAGGAGCAAGATTAAAGGGTGAATGATTATGATAGGATCACTATTTTCCAGGATCTGTTTCCTTTCTCCCCACCCCTGTAAGCTGGACTAGGCATTTTCCCTAAAAGTCAAGGAAGCTGCCCCCAAAATGTGATAGGCCTGGTGGGTTGTCTCAGTCCTACCATCATCAACATCTTCCTGTTGGCATCTAGCCATAGTGCTGTGGCTTCCTGGTAATAAAAAGACCAGCCTTCTTGGAATTAGGGCCCTCAGACTTGGTGGAAGTTCCAAGGTCAATTGAGTCAGCACACTCTTGATGAGTTCAGGGTGCACCCCAGAAATGATGAAGTACAGACTGTGGGTTCTAGTGTTCTGAAAGAAATTCACTCGGACAGTTCTCCAAGTTAAAGAAAGGCATTTATTGGGGTGACGCACCCAAGTGGGCCTGCTTCCATGTGGGAGAGTCAGAGCACAGGTGGCAGGCCCTGCCTGGGATATCAGGTAGTCCAGGAGGTGTCTTTGTCATACAGATAAGCAAGGTAAACAGGAAAGGGGAGGGAAAGAGTTGTTCTGGAATGTCAGGTAATTGGGGTGCTTTGTGAAGGCACATAAATAAGTCCATAGTGCGGGGCTTCAATGCGTGGTCTTCTTCCACCACTTTTCTGTCTGGTCGCCTCTTGCATCTTATCTTGTATCTCACATCCTGCATCCTGCTTGCTCCTTTTGCCTTGAGCACTCCTTTCTATCTCATCATTCTGATTTTTCATATGGAGGTGAGAAAGGGCTGTATACCCAAGCTAAGTGCTGCAGTATCCTTATTTAATATCCTTTCTTTTTTCTTTTTTTTTTAAGTGAGGCAATTGGGGTTAAGTGACTTGCCCAGGGTCACACAGCTAGGACATATCAAGTGTTTGGTCTGAGGCTGCATTTGAACTCAGGTCCTCCTGACTTCAGGGCCGGTGCTCTATCCACTGCGCCACCTAGCTGCCCCTTTAATATCCTTTCTAACAGCTAAATAACCCACACACGTCTTATTGTGCTCTGATATGAAGTTATTACAAAGGATAAAGTGAGTTAACATTTGTAAGGCACTTTGCAAACCTTGAGGTGCTATATAAATATGAATTAATAATAACAACAATAATAAGACAACTAACAGGACATTGGCCTGAATCAGTTCCTCCCGTTCTAATGATGAGTTCAGTTTGGGATATGCTGAGTTTGAGATGGTGACAGAACACTTCAGGTGGAGATGCCCAACTCTGGTGACAGATCCAGTTCAGTTCAACTTAATAAGCACTTACTAAGTATCTGCTGAGTGCAAGGCACTATGCTGGAGTTGGAGATATCCAAATACTCAGATTGCTCCTTTGATGACCCAATGCACATGGGCATTTCCTTCTGCAGTGCAATCATAACCCATCTATAGCTGCCCAACCTGGATGACTCTTGTCTGTGCTCTCCCACAAGTGAGCCACAGGATGATGGTGGTTGGTGGTGGCAACTCAGCACAAAACACCGATGGCCCTCCTGCCTCTCTCCTAACATGATGAGAATCCCAGTGGAGCACACAGGCTGTCTACTAATTAACCCTTGCTCTTAGCCCATCTTTTTGGATCAGATATTTCCCCAAAGACATCTTTATTTTAGTTCTTCTCCAAGGTTTCCTCATGGTGCACTTCTCGGTTTCCCCCTAGGTGATAACTCATTTTTCACTCTTCAGAGACTGTAGTGTTTCTGTCTTGCAGGTGTCACCCACATGTAGCATGGGGGAGTGACAACTCCCCCAAAGGGAGGCAGAATAGACATCTCTAGCTTCTTCTCTCCACCAAGACCCACCTCCAAAGAAGACTTTAATTCTCACCAGAAAGGGAAGCAGGAGGTTGGGGCTAGAAGCTTGGCCACTCTGCTCTCTGCAGATATTTCAAAGTGATCCTTCCCTCCCGCTATGCCCCTCAATGCAGAGATGAGACACTGATCTCCAATGAAGAGAGACCCATGCCAATGGGCTTTGAGACTCAGGTTACATGGCTATCCAACAAAGTTGAGTCTAATGTTGGTAGAATATTTGCATTTTTAAAAGGGTGTTTTGTTTCTCCAAGAAGCTTGGAGTCATTAAAGGAGCTCTGAAGTTTCCCAAAGCTAATCCAAGACTATTTTCTCCCTCCTGTTAATTCTGGGACCAATGCATCCAATAGTACTGCCTATCCAAGATATGAATACTTATGGGCAAACTCTATAGGTTATCCATCAATGCTATAATTTGGACAATAAATAAGTCTTCATCCACTTGGTTTTTCCTGTGTAGGTGGTAAAGCCAAATTCTTTTGAGTAGATACAGATCTTAGGAAGATTTGCAATATTCCAAGTCTTGAAGCAACCGGGATGATATCATCCCCAACAGAAATCTTTTTTTGATCTGGTCTCTACATTAGATCTTCTTTGTGACAGTATCAAACACTTTTTTTGGGGAGGGGGGTTTTGGTGTTTTTTTGTGTTTTGGGGTTTTTTTTTGCAATGCAATGGGGTAAAGTGACTTGCCCAGGGTCACACAGTTAGTGAGTGTCAAGTGTCTGAGGCCAGATTTCAGCTCAGGTCTTCCTGATGACTGCCCTCCAGTATAAAACATTTTTGGCTAGCACATATCTCCCTGCTTAGTCTGATGCTTATGATCGGGGGTATTTGAATAAAATTATCTCCATTATTATATCTTTTAAAAAATATTAAATTTGATATATGGATAGGAAAAATCTTGTTAGAAGACAGGCTTTTAAGGGCTTAGTTTGCTGTATTTAATCAAATGCTTTTTTTAAAATGATGAACAATAAAGAGAATCTTATATTCTCCATAGGGAGGCAGCTAGGTGGCATAGTATATCCACTTACCCTGTTTGCTCAGTTTCCTCATCTTTAATTTTTTGTTGTTGTTGTTTTTGTGAGGCAATTGGGGTTAAGTGACTTGCCTAGGGTCACACAGCTAGTAAACGTCAAGTGTCTGAAATCAGATATGAACTCGGGTCCTCCTGACTCCAGGGCCGGTGCTCTATCCACTGCACCACTTAGCTGCCCCAGTTTCCTCATCTTTAAAATGAGCTGGAGAAAGAAATGACAAACTACTCCAGTATCTTTGCCAAGAAAACCCCAAAAGGCATCACAAAGAGTTATACACAACTGAACAACGTATCTTTTTGTCGATTATAAGATGGTAAACATGTAACAAAAAATTATAAAGATATAGGTAATAATGTTTGTGAAATTTCTCCTGCCCCCTTGTCATAGCCTCAGTGGTAATATTCTCAGTACTGGCTTAAATGATGTTCATAAAAATTTCATATAGATTTTTCTCTCCTCTTCCCACCAAAGGCATACATCATAGTTACTCACCCATACAGAGACAGACAGACACAGAGAACCAGAGTAAAGGGAACTTCAGGGACTGGGACCTCTGGCAGCAAAGAATAGGGCCAACCATGGATTTTAGTAAGAACTATCTCTGATAATCAAGTGTCATGTTGCAGAGAGGAGCATATCATGGGAGCACAGCTGAGCCTGGGCAAATTTTGTATAGCTAGGAAAGTAGACGGATAATTCAAAAGTTATTTCTTGATCTTTCAGTCATGTTTTTCAAGTATTAATAAGATTTTTTTTTTTATGTAGACAGGAATCTGGTCCCTGAAGAGGATGTAATCCCAGAAAGGAAGTGTTAATGTATTAACAAGGTGTTAGCATCCTGTCATCCCTTTACAAAGTGTGAACACTTTTTGATTGAACCAGAAGGCTCTTAGAAGGCTGAGTTGGTGGGAAGCTAGGTGGTGCAGTAGATAGAGCACCGGCCATGGAGTCAGGAGGACCTGAGTCCAAATCCAGTCTCAGAACAAGACTTGACACTTACTAGCTGTGAGACCCTGGGCAAGTCACTTAACCCCAATTGCCTGGGGTGGGAGGGAAAAAGAACCTCAATAGAAGGCTGAGTTAGCTAATACTGGAGTCATTCTAGGCGTAGATGGATTTGTGGAGGAGAATCATTGGTGGATCACCATCAGCTCATCTGATCCAACTCTTCCTGCTGAACAAATGCAATTCCCTTCGGAGATGAAGGGGGCCACATCTACTTACACCAGCATCTTATTCTTGTTAAGTATCTTTCCCAAGCTACTGATAAGTAAACTTTGTTGTTGCTGTTGTTATTAATTGTTGGATGGACTTCAAGTATCTCATTTTATTCTAATCCTGAGCCCAAACGACCAGAGCAGCCTGGGTTAATTTTGGCTTGCAGTTTGGGGGTGGGGGCAGGAAAGAGAGGGGAAGGAGAAAGACAGGGCTGAGGAGAGAGAGAGAGAGAGAGAGAGAGAGAGAGAGAGAGAGAGAGAAGAGGATGTTTTTATAGTTACTCTTTTATTACTTTAATTAGTGTCTTTACTAAGAGGTAATTGTATCTACTGGCCAACTGTTACATACAAACAATAACAGCTTATGTTTATATAACACTTTAAGCTTTGCAAAGCATTTTCCATATTTTGCAGTGGAGGAAACTGAGGCTGAGAGGTTAAGTGACTTGTCCAGGATCATACAGTAAGTAAGCATCTGGGGGGCAAGATTCAAACCCAGATCTTCCTGAGTCTGAGTCTAACACTTTATCTACTGACAAGTTGCCTCTCCAGGCAATCTGAGGGTGGAGAGACCAATAATAATTGGGAGGATGAAGAAAGGCTTTGTGTAAGCAAATGACACCTGAGATGAGCTTGGGCTAGGGATTCTAGGAGGCAAGGAGTCATCACCTGTGTAGAAGTGATAATTGAAGCTATGGGACCCAAGGCTGAAAGAGAGTATGTGAAGAGAGATATGAAGACAAGAGCCAACCCACCCACACTCAAGGGGCAGAAGGAGAACAAGGAACCAGTGAAGGAAACTGAGAAGGAACGGTCAGCCAGGCAGAAGCAGCAGCAAAAAAACATCATCACGGAAGCCAAGAGGAAAAAGTATGGGACGTTAGGTCTGGAAGGGACCTTAAAACATAGAGTATCACTGGTGGAGTTTGAAGTCAACTTCCAAGGGACACCAGACCCTCCAGTTGGAATCAATCCAGGGGATCTCAGTTCTTTTTCTTCTCTTGGACCTTACTCTCCTCATTAGTGAGTCTGAGTTAGTGAGTTGGATGTGATGATCTCAAAGATACCTTTTGGCTCCAAATTCCATGATCTATATAATTTCTTTTACATAAACATCCTCACTGAATTTCTATTTATTAGAAATGTCCGAATCCCAAATATTCTTCCTCAAGGGTGCCTTGGGGCTCAAGTATAGACTATAAACACATTTCTCTTCTCTCTCCCCAAACATTAAACCCTCCTGGCTGCAAGAATGTGTTAAAAGAGGCTTTTAAGGTATTGAACTCCATATCGACACTACAAGGTAGTTTTGCCTATTGGTTTCCTTTCAAGTCTTATTGATGTTAGAGAAGTCATGGAGTCTTGGAGTTGGAAGGGGCCATCTGATCCAATCCATAACTGAGCAGGAATCCCCACTCAATGTTCCCAGATTATCAGTCAAGCTCTGCTTGAAGACCTCCAGGGATAAGGAATTTGTTGCTTCTTGAAACAGCCAGTTTTGGGCAGCTCTAATTGTTAGGAAGTTTTTCCTTATAAAAAGCCAAAATCTACCTCTCTGCAATTTCCAATATGTATAGTTCTGCCCTTTAGGGCCAAGTATAATAAATATAATTCCTCTTTCACATGACAATCTTCCAAGTACTTTGAGGCAGTAATTATACCTTACATCTCCTTCCCAAGTCTTCTCATCTCCAAGCTAAACATTCCTATTTCCAAAGGTCATGAGAGCTGAAAAGGCTCTCAGAGGTCATTTAGTCCAATGCTCTCACAGATGAGGAAACTGAGGCTTAGAAAATCTAAGTGACTTTCCAAAGGTCACAGGAACAGTGAGCATTAGAGGTGGGATTTGAACCCAGATTCTGTGACTCTAGATCTGGTACTCTAATTTATGGCCAGGATTTCTACCATTTTCAGAGTCAGGTTCAGTTGAAATCCTTGTCTAAGGCATTTCCTTCAGAAAAATGGAACTCCTACCTAGAAGCAGCAAGTGCCTATGCCCTGAGACATTTCGTGTTCTGAGGGGGATCAGCTCTTATCATTGGACTCTGACTTGACTCTGTGGCTGCCCCTTTCCTCGGGACTGTGCCATGTGCTTCTGCTGCAAGAAGGCATTACCAATGGGGAGGAAGAGGACAGAAAAATCAGCTCTCCCAGCCCCCTGCACTCTGAGAGCCTCAAGGAAAAAGAAGAATGAAATTTCTCCTCAAAGCTGATTGTTGCTTTTTAAAGGCCACCAGGACACTTGCCTAATCCTTCAGTCAGCCAATCACTACAAATTCCCTGTGTCCTATCAGTTGCCTTCATCCAATGGCCAATAATTCTATCAGGTTAACTAAGGAGCTTCGTGTTTTGATGTCAGCTCAGATTGTTTTTTAAAAATTCTTAAACATCATCATTACAGAAAAATATAACCCCCCAAACAGGGATAGTACAACAGATGTGGTCTGACCAAGGCAGAGAACAACGGTCATCCCCTTCCTCATTCTAGATACTATTCCTCTCATATCAAAGGCTGGTCTCACACAGGTTCCTTAGGCTGCCAAATCACATTATTCACTCACAGTGAGGGATTATAGAATTTTGAGGATGGCTGTCCAAGCTGAGGGAGGTGGATAGAGTCAGAGAGAAGGGGACCAGTTAAGAAAAAAAAAAGTGAAGCAAAAGAGGACATCTCTGCTCCAGTCTCCACCACCCTTCTCCCCTCCCCCCCCCACCCCATTCCAGGAAATATGCAAACTAAGGATTAGCAAATCACTATAAACTCTCACTAAGCAAAGACCAAGAGAGAGGGAAAAGAAAAAGGCAGGGGAGAGAGAATGGGAGAGGCTGGAGGCAAAGGGGAGGGGTAAGGGAGATTAAAGGGAAGGAGGAGAGAGAAAGGCTATGGGATACAAAGTGAGGCAGAAAGGGAGACAACTGATAGAAGGGAAGAGAGAAGGGGGAGAGAGGGAGAAGAGAAAAGAGTATAGAGGCAACAAGTGAGATAAAGAAGAAGGAAGGAGGAGGAGGAGGAGAGACAGAGAGAGACAGAAAGAAGGAGAAGGAGGAGGAAAAGAAATAATCAGAAAGGTCTGAGGAGGGGCAAGAAAGATGTGGGAGGGAGAGGGGACAGTGAGAAAGAAAAGAAGCAAAGAGAGGTGGAGGAAAAATGGACAAGAAAAGAGAAAGAAGTGAAGATAAAGAGAGGAGACAAAGAGACCAGGAAAAGAGAACAAAGATAGTAGAGAATCCCAGAATTGTAGTTAGAGCTTAGAAACCTTTTAGTCCGATCTCATTTTACTAATCAGTTAACTAAGGCCCAGAAAAAGGAACTTCTCAGTCATACTGAGAGTTGGTGGCTGAGCTGGGCTGTGATTGGACCCAATACTCTGGGATTCAGTCCAGGGAACAGCACTGTGCCCTCTAAAGACCTCCCTCCAGACTGACATTAGTCTACTTAACATCCTTCCTTTACTTTCCCTATCTTCTTATCCAAGAATTCAGAGACAGAAGGGACCTTAACAACATCCTTATTTTATAGATTAGGCAACTGAGGTCTGGAGGGAGGAGCAAGGAATTGCCTAAAGTACTAGGAGACAGTACTAGATTCAAACACAGCTGTCCTGGCTCTGGATACAATGCCAAGTCCAAAGACTAGAGGGACAAGGAATTCTCATCTTGGAAAGTCTAGCTCATTGTGGAATTTGGGAAGAGGAGGGACCCAGAGGGCCATGGTGAACAGAGCTGGGTCTCTTCCCTAACTGATGAGTTCTGAAAGTCCTTTGCCTTCAGCTTAGCCAGACTCTCTTCTTCCCCCCACCCTTCCCCCTTCTACTCCCCCCCTCCCCAAGCCGGCTCTGGGAGGCATCTTTTGTCTTGGGTCCAGCCTCCATCTCAGTGAACAAAGCACCAGCTGCCCATTGGCCTGACCCAGCCCTGGCCTGGCCTTTGTGTGCAGGGGAATGCTGGGCCTCCTGAATGAGGTGACCCTGCAGCCCAGGCTGCCACAGGAAAAGTGTCTTTTCTTCTGCTGGTGGGAATTGTCATTGGAACAAAGCAGGGGCCTCAAAGGCAACCCAGCCTTGGCCCCCATCATAAATTCACCAGACCCTCGACCCTGAACTGGGGGGGGGGGTGGGAATTAGGATATGGAGAGAGGAGACTGGTGTCCACAGATGGGTAGAGAAAGAGGAGACATAGCTGTCTCAGGCTTGGAGGGCTACATTCCTACCCCCACCCCAACCTACTGTGGAACCAGGCAAGGTAGTGAGACAGACACAGCCTTTCTCACACTCATCCATACACATGCTCACAAATATGCTTACCCTTACACTTATCCATACATGAACACATACAGATCCACACCCACATATGCATTCATATTCAAAAAACTTCCACAGAAACAACATTTCATACAGATGTTAGGTAGGCCTCAAGCACTCACATACAGATTCTCACCTATAAATATTCACATACGTACTGGACTCAAACATATTCCCAGACACACAGATGGATGCACTGATAGATAAACTTCCACTTATGTATTTGTTCATTTTTCAATAAACTGTGCTGGGTAACGGGGGAAATACAAAATTTAAGGGCAGCTAGTGGTGCAATGAACAGAGCACAGGGCCAAAAGTCAGAAAGACTCATCTTCCTGAGTTCAAATCTGACCTCAGACACTGACTAGCTGTGTGACCTTGGGCAAGTCACTTAACCTTATTTGCTTCAGTTTCCTCATCTGTAAAATGAGCTTGAGAAGGAAATGGCAAACCACTCCAGTATCTTCTCCAAGAAAACCCCATGGAGCAGCTAGGTGGCACAGTGGATAGAGCTCTAGACTTGGAGTCAGGAGGACCTGAGTTCAAATGTGACCTCAGACACATAACACTTACTAGCTGTGGGACCCTGGGCAAGTCACTTAATCCCATTGCCTAGCCAAAAGAAAGAAAAAAACCCCAAATGGGGTCACAAAGAGTTGGACATGACTAATGGACTAAATCACAACAAAGGGAAGAGAAGAGTGGGAAGCTAGGCTAGGTTTGTTGAAGCAGATTGCAGAAGACCTCCAATGCCAGGCTAAGTAGCTTATTCTTCAGTTGGTAGTCAGCAGGGTACCATTTAAGGTTTTTTAGTTAGGTGTAAAGACTAATTCTTGCCCCCTGTGGGACTCTAGGACAAACAAGAAGACACCCATCCTTAGAAGAGATGAAGCACAAGAGAGAAACCTAAACGGTTAAGTTTTTCTGTCCCAAACAAATTAAGGCTGAGTACCTTTTAAAGGAGGTAGAAATTCAAGGGCAACGGGGTGACTGGGCAGGAAATAAATACCTGGGAGTCATAATATTTGCATGGCTAGAATGCTCAGGGAAAGGAGATGCTGCTAGCTCCCCTCTGATTAATTCAGGAAAACCCCTTTGGGAGGAGGTGGACTTTCAGAAATCATTAAAGATGGAAGGAAAGGGAATAAAGGGAGAGAAGCTACTTGTCTTTCTTCCATCTCTTATTGGATGTAGACTGGTTGGGGGTAAATAGGGATTGGCATTCAAGCGTTTCAGCATCAGGCTACTTCACGTTATCTTCCAAAAAACGGTCCAAATAAAAAGCAGGGGCCTTCAGCAGAACTAGAAATTGACAATGGGTTGTTCTACTTTTAACGAGTTAATCCATCGATCCATCCTCCAGCATTTATTAAGCCTGGAGATGTACTAAGTGCTGGGATTTCGGAGACAAAAATGAGACCATCCTTGCCCTCGCTACCTTTTCCTGGGGGCGTGGAACATTTTCGTAAATAAGTAAATATAGGATCTATACAAAATAAAGACACTGTGATGGAGGGTTAGGGGTGGTACAAACCATTGGAGAAATCGAGAAAGGCTTCTTGTAGGAGA